TTTTGATGGCCGATTTAAGAGAACAGTATGCAGCTGTGAAATTTTGTTTCCTGCTCGAGAAAAATGCTACAGAAACTTGTGCTGCTGAACACAGCTTACAAGGGCAGTGCTATGGGAAAAACTCAAAGTGAAATGTCGATTGATGATAAACCTCATTCTGGACCTCCATCAACTTCCCGAACAGATGAAAATGCCAGACAAAATTCATGCACTTATGCTCAAATACCAACAACATACCATTGTAGAGATAAGGAACTTATCTGGACTACCTTGGAGCACGGTTCGGCGAATTTTAATGCAGGATTTTGGAATGAGTAGGGTCGCTGCAAAATTGGTGCCTAGGCTTCTGATGACCAGGAGAAAGAGTATCAAGTGGAAACATGCCGTGCTTTGAGAGAACAGCTCAGAAGAGACCCAAACTTTTTCCCCCAAGGTCATTACTGCTGACAAGACATGGTCCTATTCTTTAAATTTTTATTTTAATAAATCATTTTATTGGGGCCTCTTACAGCTCTTATAATAATCCATACATCAATTATATGAAGTACATTTGTACATATGTTGCCATCATCATTTTCAAAATATTTTCTCTGAGCCCTTGGTATCAGCTTTTTTCCTTCTCCCACCCCACCCTCCTATCCTCATGGACCCCTGATAAATTATAAATTACAATTTTCATAGCTTACACTGCCTTCGCCCATGTTACTGTTGTTCGTCCCTCTGGGGAGCGGGAAGAATTATACGTTGCTCATTTTAGTCAGTTCCCCGTTTCTGCCCCTTCTCCCCCAACCTTCCCAGTACCCTCATGGTTCACTACTCCCATTGCTGTTCCTGAGGGGGTTATCTGTCCTGGATTCCGTGTGTTAAGAGCGTACATACTACGGTCTAGCCAGATTTGTAAGGTAGAACTGGGGTCATGAAACTGGGGAAGAGGAAGCATTAAAGAACTAGAGAAATGCAGTGTGTTCTGTCAGTGCTGTGCTGCAGCCTAGCTGTCTCATTCTTTCCTTGTGACCCTTTTGGGAGGGAATGTCCAGTGATCTATAGATGGGCTTTGGGTTTCCATTCTGACCTCCATCATTTGCATCAATATATTTGTTTGTTTGGGGTCATCTCATGCCTGATAACTTATCCTGTTGACACCTCGTGATCACACAGGCTGGTGTGCTTCTTCCATGTGGGCTTTGTTGCTTCTGAGCTAGATGGCTGCTTGTTTA